GTAGGGTGGTGAGGTGTGGGGGGGGGGTGAGGTGTGAAGCGTTTGATGCCGGGAGGAGTGCGCCCACGACTTCACCCACGACTTCACGTGCGAAGTTGTGCGAACGGGGGCGCGCTGAACGGGGCGGAAGTGGACGCAGGTGGCAAGGCAAGCGATTAGCGGCGACGCGTCGATGCCATCTTTGGCAACTGCTAGTCCGCCGCCGCGCTGCCTCGCCGGCCGTCCACGGCGCATTGGGCACCGCAGCTCAGCTCCAGCGCGCCCCGACCTCACCTGCACGCATGTTGCGGCGTATCTCCAGCACGCGCTTGAAGTCGGCCGTGCAGAGGGGGCACTCGCGGTCGTTCTCCCCGAGGGACCGGAGGTTGAAGGAGTGGCCGCACATAAAGTGCACAACTGGCAGCTCGAGGGGCTGACCGGTGGCAGAGCACCTGGGTTTGTTGGGAGAGGTGCACAAGGCAGATGACTTCGGCCTAGTCGCAGCAGCTGCGGCGCCAGGCTGGAGGGGGCGGGGCGGCGGACTGGCTACAAGGCGCCAGTGCCGAGGCTGAGACGAGGCGCAGCTACGGCATTTGTTGGTGCAGCAAAAGCGCAAGTTAGACGTTTGCTGATCTCTCTTTAGCTTGCTTGGTCAAGGAAGAGATATCTGCTGTGAGCGAGCAGATCTAGCTAGGGATGCTGCAAGGTCGGCTGATTCGCTGCAACGACGCCATCGCCCAACACAAGCTTGGTGGGCTCAGCTGACGAGCGCGCCTGCTGGTTTGGAAGACGTGCGGCTGCGTCTTCAGCCGCGCGACCTCCGCCTGCATCGACGCCGTCTCAGACGCCAGCCGCGCCACCGCCTCCCTGAAAACAAGCGAGGGGGAGGGGCAACAAAACAGCCGCGGAGCTGTAGGCAAGAGGCGAATGAAGTCGAGTGAGTGTCGAATCAGACCGTGCGGATGCTCCCGCTTCTCCGCCAGCCAAGCTGAGGGCCGCAGGTGAGAGCGGCGTGGCCCTTTGACGGGGCATGCCGCAGTCGCTTCGTAGCCCCAGCCCCAAGCTGGGGAAGGGGGAGGTGGCCCATCCGCTGCGCGCACCTGTCGCGCTCAATGTCTGCGGTGTCTCTGGCCAGGGCGCGCCCCACGAAGCCCTTCACCAGCGACACCTGGGGGGCCAGGGGGCGGCAGGAGGCCAAGTGCGTGGGGTTTTTTTGGGGGGGGGAGGGGTGACGATGACCCCCGCCGTCGCAGGCAGCATCGGGAGCAAGATGCTCAGCACGGCATGGTTCTTAGACATACGAGGTCCAGGGATTGCCGCTCGACCGCAAACAGAGCGGCGTCCCGGCGCGCTGCGCCGAATCGTGCCGGCCGCCTGCCGGCAGGCCGCAACCAGCAGGCCGCGGCCAGCAGGCCGCGGGCGCGGGCGAGCGCGCACCTTGAGGTTTGGGTTTGCTGCGAGGGCCTGCACCACCACCAGGGGTGGCAGTATGGCGCCCTCCTCCAGGTGGCCCATCAGCTCCTCCAGGGCGGCCAGGGCGTCATCACCCTGGCGGGGTGACGCGGTGGGCGGGTGGGTGGCGGGGAGTGGGTCACTCATTTTGGCGTGTGTCTGTGTGAAAGTAGGTCAGGTTAGGGAATGATAAGCAGGTTGGGGTTGGTCGCACTCGAGTGATTCGAATGCGCACAGGCCGCGATGTCTGAATATCACCGCTTCGGCGTTCGCCTGCCACAAGGGCGGCGCGCCACCTGGCACACACACACACACACACACACACACTCACACACACACACACACACACGCGCGCGCGCACACACGCAACTCACAACCACACACACACCAGCATGCGCGCGCGCGTGCTGCGCACCTCCAGGCCCGCGAGATAGTGCAGTGCGTCTGACCAGAGCTGCGCGTCCCCGCCCTGCCGCGCGTCTCCGTAGGATAGGCAGGCGGCTATGACGCCGTCCAGGTCGCGGTGGGACATGGCCACCTGGAAGTTGAAAGGGTTGGGAAGACGGTGATTTTGGGAGTCGAAGAGGCAGCACGCGGCACAAGGGAGGGTGGTGGGTTAGGTGGAAACGGCCGCTGCGGCGGCTGGGTAGCATAGACTGCTGGCAACAGCACTGAGGAGCGTGCGGCATGCACCAAAACCAGGGCAGGCGGGCGGCGACCCAGGCCCGGCTGCCTCAGCACCCTGCCAATCACGGCCTTCGGCCAGGGGCCCCGCTCGCGGCCGAACGCACAGCGCTCGGCTGGGACTGCCCACAACCTGAGCGTGCTGCTGGGGGGCCCTTGAAAGGCCTTCATCCAGCCGCTCCTTCAGACCCACACTTCTGTTTCCGTCACCTGCCAGTCGAACCCACCCAATCAAGGCGGCCGATCGGCCGCCTCATGCGGCGCCCACCTGTAGCACCTCCCTGTACTGCCTCTGCTTCTCGTACAGAAAGGCCAGCCCGGGCCCGTACCCCGCGAGCCGGCACAGCACCAGGGCGTGCTCCGAGCTGTACAGCGGGGCTGCCATGTGCGGCTGCCACCCCCGCTGCAGCAGCTCCCGCGCCTTGTCGCGCCGCGCCTGGCGGGGTCCGGGGAAAGTGGCGCGGCGCGGCGCGGCAGGGGCGGCTGGGTGCCCGTGGGGGGGGGGGGCAGGGCAGGGCGGAGAAACCGCCATCGGCTGGCTGCTGGCTGCAAGGGCCATGAGTTCGCGCGCACCAGCCCCCCGGGCCCCGCGGCCGGTTCGCTTTGCCCGCCTGCTCCTCCTCCTCCTGATGCCTTCCTCTACCTCCCACTGTACGTTGGAAGCAGTCGCCCCCC